GGGGGATTTCCGCTGCCGGTGGCGGCTGGGAGCGGCTCTGCGGGGGCTAGGGAGCAGCTCCGGGAGGCTGAGCCCTCCGCGAGGAGAGCCGAGCGAAGGGAAGGGTGAGCCGGGGATGGCAGCCCCTGAGCACCGCCGGATTTTTTGGTGATCCTGTGTTCGTCACCGTCCTTTCCCCACCGCCTCCTCCTCTTCAAGCGAGGCAGCGTTCTCCTGACAGCTCTTCTCCTCGCAGCCTCCGCACGTATGACACATCGCTCCTATTGCAGGTCTCCCCCCACACGCACACCCAAAATATGTAGGTTTCAGTGCGTGGCATAAGAGTACTTCTCTGAGCTTTGAGTTAGAAGCTGACAGGATACGTGAACATTGTCTGACCCTGAACTTCTGTGAACTCCTCCCTCTCCTTCCTCGCTCAGATATGTAATGGCTTGAGATCAGTAGAGCAAAATGGTTCTCTCGAAAGGACGGTGGAAATCAGGTGGGATCATGTGTATTTTATATTTCTGTTCAAATTTATTACGCCCACCAGTGCCAGTACCGTGTTTATAAGAGTGGATTAGCTCTTGCGTTAGAAGAATGCTGACCTTGATCCCCTTTGTCTCTCCTGCAACAATTTTGGTAGCTGGCTCTGGTTGTTTTAAAGTCATTGCTGTCTTTGGCACTTCGCTGATGGTTGTTAACAGTGTTACGGGTTTTATGAGCAAAACGGGCTTGACTTATAATCCAAACTCAGTAATTTGAAAAGCATCCATTTCCTCTTTTTTTTTTTTTTTTTTTTTTTTTTAATTATGGTGAATAGTTCTGTTCTTTGTAATTTTAACCGATCAATAACAGCATTCTTGTAGGTATCACGGTATAGATACAAGCGCAAGCCTCGTTTGGCGTTCTCCCATTACTTCTCTCCCCTCTGCTTTTTTATTGTATTAATTGAAATGGAAACGATATCACCAAAGGTTAAATACTAGGAAGATGGTGGGGGGCAGAAGAAAACATTTATGAAATTAGACTCATTTATGAAATTAGATAAATTCAGATTTGTTTTTCTTATTAGAATTGGGAAGAAAAGGAAGTAGGTGATCTGGTATTTTACATGCTTAAGATGTTAAAGAAATTGCCATATTGCTTTGTTGTAAGAATTCTGTATATTCACACACAGCTCTTGTTATTTACATCTGCACTTCAGTAAGTGACATGAGAGAGGCTTGTTTTGAATAATTAATGTAGAAGTAACAGATATGAAAACATAAAATCACATGTTTGAATACATGGTGCAATTTTTCCTTTAAAATTGTTTGTGCTTGAAAGAACAAACTGAATTCAATTCTCCAACATAGATAAACCATTATAATGTTAACTTGGCACTAAAAGGACCACTTAAATTGGAAAGATGAAAGCATTGGGGTTTTTTGCTGGCGTTATTTAAATACTGTTTTGACAATAATGAGTCTGACTTAAAAAAATCTTTGGGAAGAATATCACAATGAGGTTCATACCTTTTATTTGCATATTGTGCTGTGTAGCCCTGTGTTTACCCAGGATGGAGCTCTACACAAATCATGAGGTGGGTTCTGCCTACATCCGTACTGAAGAGTTTGCAAATTAAAGCCCATGTTGTCTGAAGCAAATTATAGTTTGAATGTGGGGAGTCATTTATTTTAAGCCTGGCTAAGAATGTAGTGCATTAATTGATCTTTTTAATATGTAAAATGCCACTAGCGTGTAGTGAAATACCTAATTTATAATTGCAAATATAATTTAAATTGAGAAACAGATCATGGATGTGTATTTCTCCTGAATAGCTCTGGCTTCAATTTCTGCCTAACACTGACTGCAGTGTGTAAATATGGTATAGCTTATGACAGGGATGTTAAGATGCTCAGTCTGCATGTGTTACTGTTATGATGTTGAGCTCTTACAGTAAGACTATGCAGGATTTTTTGACTGGCCTAGTAACATACTGTAATACTGTAATTTCTTAAATGACTACCTGCTGCTAGGAAAAAAAAAAAAATCATGTTTTACTCATCTTAATAAGTTTATGTCCAGCAGTATATTTGTGTAATTGCACCTAAAAATTGCAGTTGGGAAAGGCTTTGTTGAAATATGGTTCAGTGAAGAGTCTACATTAAAATCTTTCCATGAGTTTGCTCGTGACCCTCTTTTCATGTTAAGTGGAAGCTGTTGATATTCCATGTACAAATCAGTTTCTATTTTTTGTCCAAGAAGGCTAATGAGCTGTATTTTAAAAAGTTGTGTATACTAGTTGTTTATTTATTGAATGCATTTATACGGTATGATGTGAAAATGGACAAGATCATGTCTAAAATCAAGATCAGTAATTATAAAGCTTTTCTAACTTAAATTTACTAAATGTTGCTTATAGTTCTTAAGTTACAGATATTTTAACTTCTTAGCTGCATGCTTTCTAATGCTTATTCTCATTTTATTTCTGCAGCAAGCATTGTATAGCTATTAAGGCAGCTGGACACCACTGTATTCAGTGTCAGTTTGGAATTTTATATAATACACTACAACTTTAGCATGTAAAAATGCTTTTAAAATGCCAAATGTTTACTTGAGAGTTATGGTTCACATCTAAAGAACAAACTAAACCATATTGTTAGCATATTGTTAGCAATCACTGCCTTATTTTGCCATGCATATAATTATAGCAATGGCTTTTGCCTTCTGAATGTAAGAACTGGGAATTGGGATTTTTTTGGTGCCTGTTCACATACTAATGTAGCAACTTGGATGATAGAGGTAAAAGCATTTTATATTTACATATTTTAATCACTAGACAATAATTTGCTTTTAAAAATAAGTCTAGGCCTAGGGGGCTTTTAGAATTCTCTGAATGTTATATATCCTGTTCCTTTTGGGCCCTGGTAATGTTTTTCCTTATGAAACAGGGCTTTCTCCAGGAACACCCACTAGTGGTGTGGGATGTTTGGCTTTTTTTCCTGTGTATTTTGTGAAGAGTCACGATGCACTTTTGACAATTTTTATCTGAAGAAGAATGAAAGTTAATGCTTGTTGGAAAAATGACTTTTTATAATTCTGTATTGAGTACAAATTCATAGATACTCATTCTTTGCTAACCTGATGGATTGGCAATTCTTCCAGAGTTCTTGGTTTCTTGAACTTCCTTTAGCAGTGATGTCAACTGTCAAGAGTTTAGTAGAGCTGGCTAATTAGAACATGTACAAACAGTAGTTTAAACCACCAATAGTCACAAGGAATAAACAAGACCTGTACTTGAGCAGATTTGCCAACTGGGAGCAGAAGAACACTGGGAAAGGGGGGAAAAAAAAAAAAGGGACTTCTTTAGTTCTGTGATGCTGTTATATGGACAGCAATGACCATAATGGTTGCATAAATCAGGTAATTTGCATTGGACCTGCTTTTGATACATCAGTCCTTGGATAGTAAGGCTTTAGCCACATCCTTGGAGATCATTATACCCTATACCTGGCTGTGTTATAAGATACCATAGGCACATTGATACTGGGAATTGTTCTAACAGTCATTTACTGGCATATTTGGGCTTTTGTGGTATAGTGCTTGCTGTTAAAGGATTAGAAATCTCATTCACTAGGAAACATCAGTTTATCAGGAGTGCTATGCCTAAGCACGAATGTTGGAAAAAAAAGAAATATCATAGAGCAGCATTGTCAATGCAGCAGCAGAAGAAACAGCTGTCGAGTCACATTTTAATTTTTCAGGCAGTAAGACAGAATTATGTAAAATGATTTTAAGAAGACCGAAAAGTACCAACTTCATAACATTTTTAACTAAACAGTAAAAGGTTTCTCTTAATTTCAGGACAATTTTCTGCTCCCTTATTTCAGTAACATGTTAAAAATACAATAAGCTGAAGAACAGCTGTATCTCATGTTTTGGTTATGAGCTTTTTGGTTTTTTTTATTTATCTTCTCTGGAATAACTAGTTTTGCATATATAGTGATGATCAGGGCTGTGTTATTACAGCAGAACAAAGAAATGACGTGTCTTTCACATGCACTCCTAGCTATAGTTCTTGCCTATCTTTGATTTTAAATTGAACTTCTTAGGTATTTTGTGTAAGTGAATGTTAATCTGTGCCCTCTAATCAAATTTCATTTAATTATTATCTATACCTCGTAATTGCACTCCCTTCTCTGACTGTTGTTGTTTTTAAAGGTTCGGTAGAGTTTCACAACAGTTTCTGATTTTTAACATCTGCATGTAGTCAGCTTCACTAAGGATACTTGGATGCTTTCAGTTTCTGTTAAAGTTGTCAGAATCATGACATTCTCTTCTCTGCTTGGTGAATTAGAGCATTTTGCAGGCATTGTAGCTGTACTGAGACAATAATATCATAGTCAACTGTCATAACCTGTATAGTCTTTCAGAAATGTATTTTCCCAAGTATTTCTGACTTCCTGTTCTTATCTTACGATATGTAAGTATCTTTGTTTGGCTGTTGTTAAGGTGTGTGCAAGACATCTTTATACAGCAGTCATTGAAATTAACATTTTGTGAGATTTACAGTTAATTGGTCTTTGCTGAAGTAAATATCTTCGCAAAATATGGATTACTAAGAATTACCAAAGAATATTTTCAAATATTTCATCAACAAAACCATTGTCTTTTAATTGAAATAAGAGTGTTTGGATTAAAAAGTTATGGTCTGTAGATTAGTTTATAAAAAACGTAAAGAAGCTGGTTTACAAAAATTTAAGAAATTGATACTGAGATCAATTAATATGATTCATAAGAAAGGCCAAAGTCTGTGATGACGAAAGCCCATGCTATTACAATTAAATGTATTTCAGGATGAAATTGTATTCTAAGAAAGCCATTAGCCCATTAGAAAAACTGAATAAAATGTAAGCATTTGATGTTCTTAGAATAGGTTGATGTTGATGAAAAACTGCTATATTCATAAGTAAACCATCTGATAGTCATATGTGGTTCTCTGAGGCATTTCTTAAGAGAACCTGAAGGTGTTAAAGAGCTGACATTGAAGTTGTGAGGTAAGAATTGTACAAGTTGATAGGGCACTTTCTGGAGTGGAAATGCTGGTCGTATATCTCAGTATGTCTAAGAACATGGAGAAATTATGTGATTTTAGCACAACTAAGGTTTCATTCAGTGGTTTTAGGAGTTAGTTATATGCATAGTAATGGATATTGACAGAGCGGGAGATGAAGCAAAGAAAACAACTGTTGCTCAGCATATATTTATAGAGGACCAATCTTGTGAAACTAACGTCTGGTTCTCTTGATAAGATTAAATACTTCATGTGGTATGTTGTTGATATTGCAGACCGGCGTCACTGAAACTTTGTACTTGGCTCTTACGTGGCATTTTGATTATGGAACTAAAATGATAGATCAAGTGACAACGTACAAAATGGTTTAAAACCCAGTGGATAACGTGAATCAAGTGGTTACCTATAAATAGTGGCTGTTACGTAACTGCATGTGATGAGGG